TAGATCATAACATTTTTCATTATTTGCTTGTTGGGACTATATTATTATTATTATCAATATTATTAAGTTTTTTATTATTATAATTATTATTATTATTAATATATATATATATATATATATATATATATATATATATATATATATATATATATATATATATATATATATATATATATATATATATATATATATATATATATATATATATATATATATATATATATATAAAATAGTTATTTTTATATAATAAAATAAGAATGAATCTGAACTATTAAATTTTAAAATAAATTATTGACAATATGTGTTTGTTTTTTCCTCCATTAAAAAATTTATTATTAGTCATCAATTCATTTTTTTCTTGTTCAATGAATTCAGATTTTTTCCTTAAATATATAGTTTTTAAATACTGATAATTTAAAGAATGATTAATATATGTTTCGGTCAATGTTTGAATCCAAAAACTTAAAATAATTCTTTGATATTGAATTAAATAAAATTAAATGACTAAGAACTATAATTGTATATTATATATTCTACTTTTGATTTGAATTCATGAATAGAATTAAAAAACCAACGTTAAGATGATTAAAAATATTATAATATTTGACAATATTATATAAATGTTAATTTTAATTTTTAATAAATTATATGATAGGATAGTAAATAAAAAAAAATTATAATTGACAATATTAAAAATTAAAAAAAAAAATGAACCGGAAGACTTCCAAAAAGTCTTCCGGTGAACAAACGAAAAAAATATAAACCGGAAGACTTGCAAAAAAGTCTTCCGATGAACAAACGAAAAAAATGTGAGTCTTCCAGTGAACAAAAGAAAAAAATATGAACCGGAAGACTTACAAAAAGTCTTCCAGTAAACAAATGAAAAAAATTATAAATTTTTATACGAGGGTATTTTAATCCAAAAAATGTTAATGTAAGGGTATAGGTATAATTGTAGGGGTATGAGATAAAATTTCCGTTTTTAAGTTATTCAAGTTAATTATTATTTCTAATCTAGTATTTTTTATAGATAAGTTGATTTAGTGTTTTCAATAATAACAGTAGTTAGATTTAGTTTAGATTTAATGTAATTAAATTTAGTTAATTAGTTTTTTTTTATTTAGAATTATATTTTTTTTATAGAATTAGTTAGTTGGTTTTTTAAATTAGACTTAATCAATTAGTTTTAATTTAATTATTTTAATTAGCTAATTAGCTTTTAAATTAAATTTTAGTTTAGTTATAGTGAGGTTTAATTAGATTTTATTTAATTCTCAAACTAATCTTGACCATCTTTGTTTTCATTTTAGTTAATTCCTAATGTTCATATTGAATGTAATTCTTGATACCTTTAAATGTGATTAAATCCTGAGAATTTGCTGTATATCTTGCTATTCATCTTACACTTGATACTCGAGGTTTCCTCTATGTGCCTTTGTTCCTTATACCTCATTCCAAAGGAAAGGATCATACTTGTTGACTGCCATGTCATACATTAGCCTAACTTTAGGTCATTACCCTTTATCCTAGCCTTATGATTAGAGCCGCCGTACTCTATATGAGTGTTCTGCCATGGACACATACATTCTCTTTCATCCTAGTTTTAGGATTGGAGTTGCCACACTCCATGTAAGTTTCATGGTTATGAACACTTACTTCCCCATTAGAACCTTGACCACAGTCAAGAGTTCCTAACCCCTGGTGAGGGGAACTACGATTGCTTTGATTCAATTCCCGTCAGGATACATAGGCACGAGATGCGATGTCTTGGCGATCATACTTTGTATATACCCTAGATCTTTACCTTAACACATTTTCCTCAGCAAGCACACTTTAGCATAACACAAATACTAACAAGAGGTTCTTGTAGAGTACTACAGATACTTAGGATGCTAACACATTCCCTAGATATAACCAACCCCCGAACCTTAGATCTCTTAGTTGTGTTGTTACATAGTGCACTTAGAGTTTTCTTCGATCTTTACCTTTTCCTTTGGACAAATCAAAGCTCGGTGGTGAACTTCATGATTTGTGATTCAAGTTAATTAATAGCTTGATATTCGATTCTCACCGCAACACTTATTCTTCCACACTTTGGGTTGCTTACCAAAGAAAACCTTGACATTAATTTGCCTTGGTGCAATTGCCTTAAAAGGTGATTTGTCAACCCTTAAAGGTTGAATATCCAAGATCCCATCACCTCCTAATAATGCAACCAGAGTTTCATCCAAACATGAAGAACGTATAGGTTGATCCCTTTTAGTTGGCTCACATGGTTTACTTACCATTTCCTCATTGACAGTTGCATCTCGATCAGTTGGCTCACATGGTTCACTTACCATTTCCTCAGTGACAGTTGCATATTGATCAGTTGGCTCAATTGGCATATCCTATTTGACAAAATACATGGCTAACTCAGAAGCATTTCCATCATCCTTAAATGGTTTTAAGTCGTGTTCAAATGATCCTTCATCATGTTTCCGCCACATCTTAACACCATCTATATCAAACTCAGGTTCAATCAACTTAGCTAGATCACATGCTTTAAAGAAAGACCAATAATTAGGATCTCGACCATTAAAAGCATACACATCCCCTCCCTCATATCTTATGTTACAGTCTTTTACGAGACAACCATTTGAATAAAATACAACCCTGAACCTATCCATTTCCTGTACACAACATTTAACCTACGTTTAAATTTTACCATTACAATGTAAAAATGATTTACCCTAATTTTTTCTAAAAAAACGAATAAACTTATTATACAACAGAATAACAAATTGAATAATACGGGACCACTGAGAAAACAACGCATATGATATTCAAATGAGGGAACATAGAGGAGACAATTGCATCTTACTTGGGAACACTTGCTCGCCTTCTCAGGAACTTCTTATTGGGACCACTCCAAAGAAGTCACTTTCAAGATCACTGCAAACAACCTAATTTCTTCTTTGAATGGTGTGAATCAATGTTCGTTGTTCCTTGACTGATGCGCACCTCCAACACATGAATAATGGAAACTTCTACTAAGGCACACTTCAGAAATTTATCTTATTTGCTTGTTTCATTTACATCATTTAATAGGATTTTGTTATCTGCATTTTCCATGCTGACGAATTGAAATAAAACATATCACACGTAATCAAAAATGTTATTACATGTGGCATGCCACATAAGCTTTCGTTAGTGAAAACTAACGGGAGAAACCATATTTAAAGATGAAAAACTTTATGAGGACTAAAATTTGAAAAAAAAATTTGTAGGAACTAAACTTAAAAGGTGTTATATTTCTAAGAATTAAAAACATATTTAACCCTTTAAATAATATAATTTAAAAAAAAATCCTATAAAATTAACCTAGACGTCTAGTTATATATATAATTTTGACAAGTGTTTAATTTATATTTTCATTAATTTTTTTTATAAAATCATTAAACAATATTCTTAACATTGTTAACATGACTTAAAAAAAAAAGAAGAAGATTGGAAGAACCGTACATATGACCTCGCAGAGCATCTTCACGCGTCCCCTTGATCAAAGAATACGCCGTGCCACGTACCGGTTTCTGAAAAGCGAGATGCCACGCTGGCTCTAAGCAACACCACGAAATGAAACGATCCGTACATCGGTAACCGGATACAACCCGTTGCCATTGCCACGCAAGCAATATTGGTCCACATTTGACAACTGGCAACGCTTTTTTACGGATGAAAACCCAAATCGAACGAGTTTGTGGGTGAGATTTCACTTGGAAGAAAAAAGACCCCAAAAAATATAATAAATAAATCATAAAACAAAAGCCAAAAAATAATTAAGAAAAAAGTGCAAGTGGGTATTCGTACTATTAGCCACTAAATTTATGACACTTGTTACAGTCTAACACTGTTTCCCTCTTCAAGCTTTATCGACCTCAAATTAAAATTGATAATAAAATAAAATAAAAACGGTGAGAAATTGTAGTGGCTGAGATTGGTTCTCATTGTTGAACTATTGGATGTGGATGTTTCTAGTTCGTGTTGAAGTTCTATGTATGTTGCTTCCTCTAGCACTCTTATTCTTCTATTGTTGCTGCTTCTACTACTATAACTGCAACCGTTTCTTCTCCTCTTTTCTCTTTTCTCTTCCATTTTGATTCTTCTTCCGATCTACATATTCAGATTCGCTAGTGCCGGTTGCCGGAAATGAATCGTCCGGCGAGTTTCCGGTGAATTCACACGCTTCACATGCACGATCGCACTTGCAAACTTCAACATGGATTTACTTCGAGGTACTTATATTTCTTCTTTTTTAGGAAAGTAGATTAGTTTTGGTCTCCGGTAAAAATTTAATCGCAAAAAGATTATTCCGCATCTTTTTCCTTTTTCCTTTTTCACTGTTCGTTAATTAATTTTCTGGATTGGAATAAACTTGTTCCGTTGATTTGAACTTCGCTTGATTTGTGTTTAGTTTTTCTGGATAATTGAACTTGCAGTGATAGTGAAGTATATGTATATTAAAAAATATATATAGTAACTCGAAGTATTTTCAAAGTGAAATTTGAACTTTGAACTTTGAACATACAAATTTGAAGTGATGTGATATACTGATTATAGTTGTTTCTGATTTTGGAAGGTTTTGGCTCTGTGGAATTTGTTTTGGTGAGGATCTTGACTAAAGAATTTTCTAGCATCTCTCTATGTTGCGGTGGATTCTAAATAAAAATAATTGATTCTATTGTTTTTTTCTTTCAGTAATTTGATTTGTGGATTATCTTGCTGGTGACTTGTGAATTTGGGAAGTTTATTGTTAATAATTATTCATACCAAACAGAGACGGATCTCTACCTATTTTTCTTGCTTTCTGTTTATTTTGCAGTAATATCAGCTTTTGCTTACTTTCACCACAACGGCTTTACTATTTGCGGTGCTTCATGTCACAAAAAAAGAAAGGTGTTCTTTTTACTCACTCTTCGTCAGGGAAGATCTGAAGCAGCGCTAGCTTCACGCCTCCTGTGATGGATTTATATTCCTCCGGTGAAGAAGTGGTTGTTAAGGTCAGTTTGTTTTGATTGATTGATAGATAGGGAAACTTTGATTTCTTAAAGTTAATAAATGAACATCATCATCATCATCTAAGTAGATGCTAATATTTGCAGACAAGAAAACCGTATACAATAACAAAACAAAGAGAACGATGGACAGAAGAGGAACATAATAGATTTCTAGAAGCCCTGAAGCTATATGGGCGAGCATGGCAGCGCATAGAAGGTAATAGTTTGTGACATATATATTCTATGTTATTAGTTTCTTCAAAAGCATAACTAATTTTGTATTTCCAAATATTCTAGATATATTCAGACTCGTAATATTGAGATATCTTATTAGGAAATGGCACTAATTGCTCTCTTTATTGGATCATATCTTAATTGGATCTCTCTTTTCCCTCCCACACCTTGCCCCTTTGCTGATGTTTTACTATTGTCAAGCAGAGCATATAGGAACAAAAACTGCTGTGCAAATCAGGAGCCATGCCCAAAAATTCTTTTCTAAGGTTGATTGGTACCTTCTCTCACCTGGGATTATATGCTGAAAGTTTTTGTTATTTCAATTGAATTCGTGCTTTCTTTTGACCTGCTGTTGATTATTAATCAGTTTAACATATTATTTGATTCACTTTACTCAACAAGTTCCCATTTCAAAGGCATGAAGTAGTGCTGAGGTCTCAAATTAAAAATCTAAAAACATAACCAGCTTTCTTGGTGAAGTTCCAAGGCGGCAACACTGAAAACCACAATTTCTTCAATATTAAAATAGTATATTGAAAAATCTAGATAACCGAGTTTCCAAAAACAAAGATTCATCGAACAACGGATTGAGAAAATAAATTAATTTGTTGAGAATTGGAATTCGGAACCTTGAGCAATAAGAATGGAGAGACAAATTCTAGAGACTGATAGATCTTCTTTAAATGAAAACAAAACTGTATCTTTGTAATTAATTGTGAAAACATTTAGACTAAAAATGAAAAACAAACCAATCATACCCCTAAATCATACCCCTAAATCATACCCCTAAACTGATAATCTTTTCATATTTATACTTAAAAAAAATCAAATAATTTTAACAGGGAAGCTTTTTTATTATCATATAGTTGGTGATGGAGAATGAGTGACGTTTCTGCACACTTGATAAGCCGCCATCTTTTGAGTCTTACTATCCTATGAAAGTTATATTATTACTAACAAAACAATATCTTGTAGTGTCTATAGAAGACCCACCCAAGTTGAGTTACTAGATGTTATGCTTTGCTTAAGAGGGGCTCCGTAATGCATCCCAACGAGTGTCTCTTGGGGGAGACACGAAACTATTCCAAGAAATGCGACACAGAGCTGCACGATTTACCAACAAGCTTCTTTTGCAGCTCTTAAAGAACTTCACCATCATCTGATGGAAGTTTCACACCAGTAATCATTGAAATGCCACATGCTCCTGCAATAACAGTCATTTAAGGTTGTACTAAGTCAAGGATATTCTTTCTTTGAGACAAAAAAGTTGCTCTCCTTGCCCCGTGCTAGGTCAATATCCCAGAAATGCTTCAAACCATCAAGATCTATAGAATGGAATAGTATTTAATTAAAATATCCTAATAATGTTATAATATTTTTGAGGCGACACATTTTCGGCTTCTTCTGCTGCATTTTCCTCACTCAGACTCCCCTCGTCATCCATTTTTCAACACTATTTTTCATAGCCTTTACAGCTTTGTTTCTCTCTCCCCTCATCATCCTTTTTCAACACTATTTTTTCATAGCCTCTACAATTTTTTTCAACACTATTTTTCATAGCCTCTACAGTTTTGTTTCTCTCGTCTGTTTTACTTGGCTTAGCCCTATGTTACCCTGGCATATGGCTCTCAAATCAAAGTTAAAGGGAGTGGTCAAACACATCCCGTTCCTAACCTTTCCCTAGATTCTGTGCTTTTTGTAAGGCTGTCATTTCAATTTAATATCTATTAGCTAACTCAATACACACTTGATTACTCCGCCATTCTGTTAATAATGATATTGTGTCTATGTGTATGAATGATTGGAACATGATGCGAGTCTCGAGTATCATTTCAACTTTGCTTGTGACATTATGATGCTAACATTTCAAGGTTTCCTAAATTCAAACTCGTGGATACATGTCTTCCTAAATTCAAAACCAATTCAAAACCGTTCTTAATAAAATTCTTTGCGCGTTTATGAATATTTGTCTTTCTAGTTTCAATCCTTTTCAACTTCATAAGTATTAGTCATGACACCTCGTGCTCACACACCACAATAAAATGGTGTTACTGAAAGAAAGAATCGACATATGGTTGAAACATCTCAGGCTCTTCATAATAACAATAATAATACAACAACAACAATCAGGTTTTATCCCACTAAATGAGAAGACCATGTTTCTAGCTAATTCGTTAATCCCAAGATCTTTCTTAATAGTTTTTTTAGGTTTTCCTTTACCTCTAATTGTTTGACTACTCCACATCTAATTTACTCTTCTTAGAATAGAATCTACATGTCTTTTTTCTACTCCATACCACCTAAGCCTATTTTCCACCATCTTTTTTACTATAGGTGTTACCCCAACACTTCTCTAATATTGTCATTTTTAATTTTATTCTGACTAGTCTTGCCACACATCCAACACAACATTTTCATCTCTGCTACCCTTCCTTTCTTCTTGTGTTGATTCTTAACCATCCAACATCCTGTCCTGTACAATGTCATCTGTCTTACTGCTGTCTAATAAAAATTTTCCTTTATCTTGAGCGGTACTTTTGTGTTGCATAAACCTCCTGAGACCCTCCTCCATTTCAGTCATCCAACTTGAATTCAATGGTTTACATCCCCTTCTATTTCTCCATCGTTTTGTATTATAGACTCGAGATATTTAAACCGCGTGACTTATGGTATGATATGGTCTCCAACTTTCACCTCTACGTTTGAAACCTTCTCCTTTTTCTAAACAAACATTCCATATACTTCGTCTTACTTCTGCTTAGGCGGAAGTCATATGTTTTTAAAATTCATACATAGAAATATATCATCTGTACCATATACCTTCTGTTGGAGAGTTTGCAATCCTCCAAAGCTCAAATGACCATAGCGAAAATGCCATAGCCATGACTCATCAAGTGTCAGTTCATCAATGTTCTTTGATTCTTCAATGGAGCAGACAACAAAATTGAATTTGGGCGTCATTGACCGAAGAATCTTTTCTACAATCTTCACGTCCTCCATTTTTTCTATACATCTCGGTTTTATCTCTTGGATGTGTTCTGTGAATACATCTAATAGGTTAACCGGTGACGTGCTTCTCACAATAGGTTATCTTAGCAACCACTTTCCTTCCTCTATTCTTCATAGTCAGGTCAGGTTTCCTGCACTCTATGTTATGCTAACAAGATCGCTTCCTTGTTATTTCAGAGTCTTTGGTTGAAAATGTTTTGTTCAAGACTTCACTCTATAAAGATAAGCTTCGTTAAAATTTTCAAATGTATTTTTGTGTGTTATTCGTACCCCCAAAAGGGCTATCGTTGTTTTTATCCTCAACATCAACTATATATTGTCATTGTTTCGGCTGATGCCATATTTTTTAGACCTCCCCTTCCTTTCTTTTGTTGTACTTTTTGATCAATTTCATTGTGGACATTCAGGATATTCCACACCTTGATCTGCTTCAAGTAGTTGCTTATGCAGAGCACCTCTTTTGCTAGCTTACCAATAATGAAGTTGGAATTTTATTCAACTGATCCTCTAGCCTCATCTTATGCTTCTACCACCCTCCCACCTACGCCACATGTAGTTGAACTTCGCATTGGATTTACATGTATTCGTTCCTCTCGTAATCCTTATTCTTTCCACTTTCCAGGTTTGCACTTGTATTTGTGATTGTTTATCTCTTTCCTAGTCTCTGTTTAGACTGTGTTTATTCCTAAGCCTCTAGGTAAGCCATAGGAGATCCCAAGTGATGCTAGATGATGTTGGATTAAATGGAAGTATTACACTCCAACAAAGATTGGGAACTTGGTCTCTTACCTTTTGACAAGTCTGCAATTGGTTTTATAGGATGTGGGTTGGACTAGATATTCACAATGATGGTTAGATCTTTAGTCTAAATTATGGGGATACCTTTCCCATGCAGACTAAATCACTTACACGTCTCTTTCTTGTCATGGATGCTATGCATCATTGGCCTATTAACAAGCAAGATATTACAAAAGCCTTGCACAAATTGCATGAAGCAATTTGTATGTTCTAGTCTCCAGGTTTTACAATTTTTAGTGATTCTCGCTTAGTCTCTCTTTCTATAGTTTGAAGCACTCTCTTGTGCTTGATTTGGATGTTTAAAATTTGCCTTAATACAATTTGTCATTTACAAGCGTTAACTTGGTCACTCTTCCTTCTCCATTCATTCTCCTTTTGTTTGATGGATTTGTTTTGTTGTTTATGTGATGGCGTTGTCATTAATGGTGATGACGTGGATGATTTATGGCAGCTGTAAATCCTATCTCTTCAAATAGTTTTAGATTATAGACTAAGTACCTCTAAAATACTTTGAATGGATTGAAACTTTGCAATCCTTATCTCGAAACTGACAAAAGTATGCTCTGAATATTATTACTAAGACTTGTATAATTGATTGTCATCCCATTGATATTCCCATTGTATGAAGCCTAATGTTAAGCTTCTTCTGAGTCAGAGGGAGTCTTGAGTCAGAGGGAGTCTTTAACTAATCGAAAAATATATTGGTAACTTGTGGTATATCACCTTTTAGCTAGTTTCTAAGTGCTTCTTGGGATGCTTCAAAAGAAGGATGATATGAAGATAAATGTGTTGGAATTTCCCCCTTCCTTGCGATCCGTCCCTAGTCGCCTAATTGCGGTATATGGCTTGCCTTCATTGCAGCCTCCAACGTCTACTATGTGTTGGGTTTGAAAGGGTGGATTAAGTTCCAAATTGCTTAGAGATATGACATGTGTAGTCTTTATAAAGCTTAGGAACCCACACCTTACAAGTCGGTTTTGCAAGGTTGAGTAAGTGTAGTCAACATCGAGTATCTTACAATCTTATGTGCTGAGGTTGCCTTTTAGTGCTACAATTGGAGAACGGTATTTTTTCGTGCACCGCGTGGTCAGGATCAAGCTTTCTAACCGGGTCGGGTGTTTTACGTGAAAACCTGGTCAATTAGGTTCTCCCTCCTAACCCTAAAACAAAAAGCTGCTGCATCTTTCACCATAGGTGCTAGTACCTTTGCAACTTTCAAGCTTCATCTTTTCATCCCCATTCTGTTTTCCACTCTTACCCCTCTATTATCGCCGCCGTTAATCTTCTCCATGGCAACGACGAGTTCTCACTCTACCATTAATATTCGTGTTCATCTTCCCTATCAGTGTTCGCATTCTTTTTCTCCCATCATTTTTCTTAACACTATTTTCTCCCCTCTGTAACGACTTCAAATATATATATGAAATTACCATTTTGCCTTTCGGTAGGATTTTACGTGACGTGTTATGATCCTAGTTTTACTATCTTTCACAGGCCGTCCGATCCTACTTAAGATCTCGTGCTTGACTACCTTGGTTGAGTTAGATCTACCCACACATTCTTAAAATGTTATCCGAGTATATCCTAAATCACTTGTTGGGTTTCCTGCATCAACCATACTTTGGTATGAGGCTTGAACGTGAGGGGGTGTGTTGGAATTTCTGCTTGACTCGACTTCATTGCAGCCTCCAGCACCTACGTTATGTTGGGTTTGATTGGATGGACTAAGTCCCAAATCTTTTAGAGATATGACCTTTGTAGTGCTTATAAAGTTTGGGCAACCCTCAACTTTCAAATCAATTTTGTAGGGTTGATTTAAGAGGACCCACACATTCTTAAGAAAAGGCAATGGCAATGTAACATGTTTCTACTAGGTAGGATCACCATCAAATACGAGATCCAATCCATTTTTTAGTATTTTGTTCTTTTTGGAAGAAATTTGCAGCAAGAAGTAGAGCATTGTTATCAGATCAAGTGCAATAATTGAATAACTTGCCATGGTTGTAGCTGCATGCAAACTTACTCAACTTAGGAATTCATTCTACAATTGAAATTAGGAGATATTTGGGACACAAAACTTATCTATAACAAGCACGCTACACTTCACATTACATCGAATTCATTTTTCTATTAACGACGGTGCATCAGGGTAAGTCACTACTGGTTGGTTGAAATGTTCATCAAGTCCCTTTGGCTCTCCTATTGACTACATTTCTAATAAGTTTGGTTCATATGACATATGTTTCAGCTTGAGGGAGAGAGTTAGATAGCATCTTGAACACATGTTTACCATGTAAAAATGTCACATTAAATCATTTCTAATTTTTACTTATCTAGCTACCTTGTAGCACTCTTGCTTTATGAGAATAATAAACAAAAGTTTGTTGGTGCCTGTAACAGGGCAGTAATCAACTAGACTGAATCACAGATAAAAGAAGGCTTGTTCATTTTTACAGCCTTTACCAAACCCTTAGAAGCGCTGAAAAATACTCTACATAATCTGCAATTACTGATATTGCTAAATGTGTTTAAACTTTTTAACTTAGGTGAAGAAAAATATGTGAGATATACAAGTATTAGGCCTTCATATGATTTACATTTTTGGATGCAACTATCATTTTTGTATTAGGTTTTCTATAACTTTTTTGACCCGAGTGATCAAGCTCAACCCTTTTATTGGTGCCTATATTAATAAGATGAAGGGGTTCAATGCTTTAGTGGAATCCACAAATGAGTGAAGATATACGTAAACAATTTATTTTATAAAAGAAAAAAGTGATGTAAGCATTAACAAACGATTGATTTATAAAAGAAAAAGTGATACAAGAGAAGGGGGACTGATTTGGCCAAGTAGTCAATTCGATTGCTTGGTCAAGTCAGTTCCCTTTTTTTTAGTTCAACTTCACTAGAATTTGTACAAATTTACAGATCTAAGGTGGATGCATCCATTAGCTGAAGCAATGACAATTGGGTGAAGTACTGATTTGTAGAACCTGGTACTTTTGTAAAAGAATTAATTTGTGGAGATATTTTTAAAAGTATTACCGAGCTTAATGAGAATATTTTTCTTATTCTTAAATTTGAGAGAATAATTGAAGATTTATAACTCACTACAAAGAGAAACATTTTGAAATGCTTTTCATCTAATTCTTCTGTTTGCAACAATGGTTGAAAAACTTGATCAGATGATAAACTGAAATTTGTTCAAGACATTGCTTTTGGGGTATATTGCTAACACTCGGTAGTGATGGAGATCCACCACAGAGAGAACAGTGTTCAGTTCTAAATACCACTAGGTATAATGTTAACTAGTCATTTGTGGTTTTGAAACTTCAAATTTGTGAAATAAAATCTCCTTCCTTACCAAGTCTGCGATTTAGTACTTTTGAGGGGTCCACTTAAGAAGGAAAGGCAACAATTTCTTTTTTCTGAGCAACCTGAACCAGATCTTATCATCTGGTATCAGACTCGAACAGGAATATGGAAATCAATAACTGATGAGTTCAAGAACGGAATTAAGATTGGAGACTTTGGAGTGATCAGTGGCGAATGGGACCCCCAACTCCAGGATTGGTTCAAAGCAAGATAAGAGGCACAAATAACTTAGAGTGTCAAACGACGTAAGTTGTGTATGTCTGTGTTAGAAGGAAAAGATGTGTTTTGGTGGATTGGAAATTAGTGAGGACTAGTATTGAGGAGAGTCTTGGATCTCTTGAATATCCAGGGAATGTGTGTTGTGTAACCACTTGTCCAAGAATGCTTATAAACCATTTTCTTTGAAAATGTTGCCTAGAAAATAAGTGAAAAGTTGTTGGCATGCATCTTCTACACGTCTGTTTTTTTGAAAAACGTTACACTGGTACTTTCTCAGCACAAGCACAAAAATGTAAGAGTTGATCAGTAAAATTGGATGCTTAGTTGCTAGTAATTCAACCTTTCTTCCAGTTTCAGAAAAACTTAAGTGGTACTAGTTAAAACGAGTTTGAGTAAACAACTTAATTATTCATTTCTTTAGTAAGCACATATAATCGTTTGAGTAAACTTAATTGTTTTTCTTTATTGAAGAGAAAATGAGGGTACACACAGTGATGTATACGATGTTTCTATAAGCTATCTTGGGGAGCATATGAAAATAAGCTGAACATATATTGTATACATATCATAATCTATTTCTTTAAGCTCTTTCAAACACTGACAAATAATGTGATAATATAAGTTCAAATAAGTATTCCAAATGTCCTCTAAGTGTTGAGAATGAAATTTGGATTGAAGAATTGTTCTGCTTGATTTGATAATTTGATTTTAAAAGCAGAGGATCATTTACAGGATTAAATATACACCTGATATGGATGTCCATCACGGGCCTCTGTTTTTCGCTCCAATACCTTATCTGGATTTCATCACCTCCTTCTATTATAAGGATTTTTAGATCTAAATGGAATATCCAAGCTATATACTCCCTTAATTTCATGTTTAGTTCTTCTTTTAGCAATACATACTAAGAATTGCCAGGAATGTCCGATATGTTTGTTCCGAACCCATGATTTTTTTAGAGCACCAACCACCAGCAAAATATTTTTTCTTTTCTAATAAGAGGATTAGTTTCTTAGAAAAAGTGGAAGTTTTTTTTATTTAAAAAAAAAAGGTTTAGTATATCAAAATTTATTGTGTTGGATTCCTATCAAAATCTCGCTCATGTCTCATGTTTGCGTGCAAGTAGTCAAGAGTGGCGGCTTCAGAAGATCATAATATATGGTCATATGATTCAGATAGACTACATTTGGCACTATGTGCAATTTAGTGGTAACTGTTAATTGACCTGTCTTGTTCCAAGGAGAGGATAATACTTAAGAGTATAATAGGAAAAGTAGTATTAATGATTCATTGGTATTGTAAAACGACTTATAATTTGGTACAATTCTTTCCTCCAAAGTGACATATAATTAAAAAAAGTGTCGACTTATAGTTGATTCTGTTTTACATTTGAAATTAATGGAATTCATTAGTATATTGTAAATCGACTTATAGTTTGGTACAATTTTTTCTCCTAAAGTGTCGAATAATTGAAAACAAAGGGCGTACTTGATTAAAAACCATGTATGTATTTGATTTGGTTTTACACTTGAAATCATTGGAATGTTAGTGTTAGAGCTATTATGTAAGTCTAGATGGTATTTTGGGAATCAATGCTCAACTGCTCCAGTTAGTGCTTTTCAAATAATTTTTGTAGAACTTCACTTGCTGAGCATATACTCTTACAACTTTTACTTTCAGTTGGAGAAGGAAGCTATTGTAAAAGGTTCTGCATTAGGACAAGCTCTTGACTTAGACATCCCCCCTCCCCGGCCCAAAAGAAAACCAAGCAATCCTTATCCTCGCAAGACCAATGTTGGGACCCCAACATTAAATAGTGGAGCAAAGTATGGAAAGCCACTTATTGCAGTTGCATCTTCACATGGTAAACAAGCAATGGATTTTGAGACAGAACCGCTTCCCGAGGTTAATATTGTTATTTTGTATTTCGCTTGTCATACAAATTGTGTTTTTTCTTTCAATGAAATCATTCTACTCGTTCCTTATTTTTTTAGAAGCATAAAGATGAGGAAAGGCCAACAACTGCAAAAGAAAACAATGATGAAAATTGCTCAAAAGTATTTACAATCCTCAAGGAGGCACCTTGTTCATCTGTATCTTCAGCAATCAAGAGTTCAATCTCAATGTCAGTGCCACAGACAAATTGCTGCATCTTAAGGGAGTTTACACCTTCAGTGAAAAATGTAATAACTCAAGATGAAACATATGAATCTCTTCCTACCACAGAGAATGAAAATCGGATGTTGGAGTTAGATGATGGGAAACACACACAAAAGACTGATGGCACTTGTAAAACCTCTAAATTGGAAAGCTCTTCTCCTAAATCGGTTCAAGCTAAGAAATCAGATGATCTTACTTCTGCATTAACAGATGAGATGCAAAGTAATCAGAACTACCCAAGGCATATCACTGTGCATGTCGTTGATGGGAACCTTGGAACCAGTACTCAAGACTCCACATTTCAGCCAATAGGAGGAATTAATGGGAAACCTAATCTTTTCACAAATTCAGCTGCATCAAACACAAATGATAGTCAAAATAACATGGCACGGTCATCTATTCATCAATCATTTACTTCTTGTCCTCCCTTTTCACAACATAATCACGATGATTACCAATCCTTTCTCAACATGTCTTCTACATTTTCAAGTCTGATTGTCTCTACCTTGCTGCAACACCCTGCAGCCCATGCTGCAGCAAGTTTTGCTGCTACATTTTGGCCCTATGCAAATGTAGAATCTTCAGCTGATTCTCCTGCTTGTTCTCAAGGAGGTTTTCCATCTAGACAAATTGGTTCACCTCCGAGTGTAGCAGCTATTGCTGCTGCTACGGTAGCTGCTGCAACTGCATGGTGGACAGCTCATGGACTGCTTCCTTTGTGCGCTCCACTCCATACAGCTTTTGCCTGTCCTCCTGCATCAGCAACTGTTGTTCCATCAATGAATATCAGCGAAGTTCCACCTAAGACAGAACAAGGAGATGTTACACTACAAAATCCTCCTCTGCAAGATCATATGCCAGATCCAGAAGACTCGGAAGCTTTGCAAGCTCAACATTCAGCTTCTAAGTCACCAGCTGTTTCTTCATCTGAATCAGAGGAGAGTGGAGATGCCAAGTTAAATACTTCATCAAAGGCCACTATGAATCTTGATATAAACCAACCAATTTCTGAGAACCTTAATTCCAACCAAATGGAGGGCAGGAAACCGGTAGACCGGTCTTCTTGTGGTTCCAACACAACCTCTGGCAGTGAAGAGACTGATGCGCTAGAGAAGGATGGGAAAGAAAAGGAAGATCCCAAAACACCGGATGCAGACCATTTAGCTACTGATCCTAGTAGTCGTCGATATAGAAGCATTAGCAACATTCTTGATTCTTGGAAGGAGGTGTCTGAAGAGGTATCACAGTATATCTTACAATAAAATGTAATTAATGTATTGTATGCATGCATTGCTTCTGTCCTTATGCCAGTGTTATTTACAGGGACGACTTGCCTTTCGGGCTCTATTCTCCAGAGAGGTGTTGCCCCAAAGCTTTTCACCTCCTCCTGATTTGATAAATAAGGACCATCAGATGGACAACATGAAGGATAATGAGGAAAAAGGACACCATAAAGATCACCTTGACAGCAAGAAATGCAGTTCTAATTGTGACCGGTTGCAGCAAAACCTACCATTTGTACAAAATAACAGTGAGGAGGAGGGACTGCTAACCTTAGGTCTTGGACAAGGTAAACTTAAGACTCGTCGAACAGGGTTTAAACCTTACAAAAGATGTTTAGTAGAAGCCAAGGAAAACAGGACCGGAACGGCCTGTAATCAAGTCGAAGAGACTGGTCCCAAGAGGATACGCCTGGAAGGGGGGAGTTCTACTTGATGCTTGATATATGCATAGAATCACAGAAAATCCGAGTTTTGAGCATTATTTTTAACTCCCCTTGCTCGGTGTCTGTATTGTTTATTTTCTAATTCTGCAGCTCACAAAACTTGTCGTGTAGGTGTGTGTACCATATTAAATTACTACCTGCGTTGTTTTACTTTCTTGGACTGATGTTGCTGCAGTTGAAAATTCCGCTAAAATAGCATTAGAGAAGAAACATTAAGTACTGTTTGAGCATTGAAAATTCAAGTAATTTATGATAATCCTTCATTCTATCACTTTATTGTTTTACTTATAGTTGTGACATTTATGAACTATTTTTTTCTACTTTAAAAACACCAATGTTTTAAAAATTAGATCGATAATCAAACCCATGAAGGGACTGGGTCGCAGATTTATTGGTCGAACTACTGGGTCATTGTCGAACCGCACGATTAAATCGAATAATTCGGTAGAATAAACCGGTCTCTATAAAATAACTATATATTTAATAAATTGGTCGAACTAAATGACTCGGTTTCTAAAAAAACATCACGACACCTACAAAATTTTAAAATATCATAATTTCACAAGTTCGTTCTTTAAATTCAAACTCTTGACGTAGTCATCATGCAAGATAAAATAATACAAAATACAAATTCAAATAATTTTGAACAATATCTGATTACAAACGAAGAAAAATTGTTTCAAATAAGTTTTGAATAAAGTCTATTTATATTTTAATTTTATTTAAAATAAATAAATTATCAAAACGACATCGTTATTATGAAGAAAAAAAAGACGTGCATTTAAACCGTCGGTTTTTTAAAATCGCCGATTCACCGGTTTTTAGTAGTTTTTGTCGGTTCTCACTGGTTCAATAGCATATTCGATCCAGCAATCAGACCAGACCGATAACCTTGTTCACCATCAAATTGCATCTCTCCGAAAATCTGTCAGAGAAGTTTGATGAAGACTTTACAAGTGTTTCTCTTTATTTGAGAATTCTTGATACAAGGACTTTATTTGCTCTAAGGCAATTTCAAACTATAACAATATTGCTCCTCAGTGATGTTCTCCCCAATGAGTCCACTATCCAATTTGCTTCCATCAAATGGCATCTCTTTGAGAAGTTTGATGCAGATTACAGTTGATCTTTCTCTTTATTTGAGAAGACATATTTTGCAAATCAACCGGCTTGCATCTCTTTTAGATCCTTGACTATGTTTTTTAATCTCCAGTAAATTATAGATCCTCGTTGAAGTCATAAATCTCCAGTAAAATTTCAATCCCCTATGAAGATACTCTTCCATCAGTATTCACCTTTTCAGGAAGAAACTGAGACTCGTTCGTAGCTTATGACCCGAGACGAGGGGAGGTTTATTTTACTCTTTTCGAGTGAAATACATGATTAAAGAAGAAATTGAGACCTGTTCACGACAATAGATTCTCTAGTAAATTTTAAAAACATAATTTTCATCAAACCTCGAAAGAAGGTATTTTCTTTTTATTTTCTAGTAAGTCTCGGCAGAAGATTTTCAGTTTAACCTTGGCAAAAGGTATTTTCTTTTCATTTCCTGACAAGTCTCGACAGAAGATTTCAGTAGACCTCGACAAAAGGTGTTTCATTTTTTAAATTCTCTAGTTATTCTCGGCAGTAGATCTCCAGCAGACTTCAACAAAAGATGTTTCTCTGTTTTCAGGATCTCGGCAGTATCTCTGGTTAACTTTGATGCTTCTTTAAACTTGAGCATACAGTTATATTTTTTCAAATTTTCGGCAACAAATTTTCCAGTAAATTTTTGATAGTGGACACATTTTTCAGTAAAACCTTGACAGAAGGTATTTCCAAATGAGGTCCTAAGTCTCGACAGTAGACTCCTCTAGTTGATATCTCTTGGAATCTCCGCAGTTGACCTCGACAGTAAGTTCTCCAAGTGGATTTGGTTTAAAATATTTTGTCACAAGTTCATCACCATATGTTTAAGATACCTTGTGATTATCAGTTGGTAATCTCTTTCCCAGTGGAGTTGAGTCTCATCTCCGGTGGAGTTGGATCTTTTCTCCGTGGAGTCTTGCTTTGCTAAGTTGCTCTTCATCGGGTCTTCCATTCTTTAACTGTGTTTTAGCGTTGTCTATATACAGTTATCTCCTGTGACATCTTTTCTGTCACAAATCCCTATCTTGCACTCATATCATTTTATGTCATATCATGTGCATCTTGTGGCATCTTAGGACCAAATTTTTTGCATGTTTGTATTTAAGTCTCTCCTATCATGTCGACGAAGATTTCAATCTCCATATCTCTGGATAGAAGAAACTTAAATAGGGGCATCTGTCATATCCTAATTTTTTACCATAAGATTCTGTTTGTCGTTTTGCTTCATCTGCATAGCATAACATGCACTTCATTTTGCATAATGCCCGAAATGTCGGTCAAAATAAATGTTGAATTTACAGACAAACTAATCTAAATTTATTTCAAAATCTGACCAAACGCTATATTTTTTCAATATGTTTATTTAGTGCTGATTATTTTGGTGTGCTCATTTTTATTTTTTCGAGCACTTTGCTGCCCGACTTTTTATTTTGTTTTTAATTATTTTTATTTAAATAATCATTTAATTTATTTAAATTTAATTAGATATTTAATATAAATTTTTATTTTTATTAATAAATTTAATTTTTAATTTGTTTATTAATATTTTCTTTTTAAAAAACACAAAAACATAATTTTTAATTCTTTTTATTTTTTTCTTATCATAAAAAAAACACAAAAACATGATTTTTATTTTTTATTCTTGTCTTATTATAAAAAACAAAAAAAACATAATTTTTTAATTCTTTTTATTCTTGTCTTATCATAAAAAACACAAAAACATGATTTTTAATTCTTTTCCTATCATAAAAAACACAAAAACATCATTTTTAATTTCTTTTATTCTTGTCTTATTATAAAAAATAAAAAAAAATATTGTGTTAATTGTTATTATCATTCTTGTCTATTTTCTAGTCCTATATATATGCATTAGAAAAAACAAAAAGACACAAAAAAAAGGAGACAACAAAAAACCTTTGTCCCCTAATCTATCTATCTCCCTCTCTCTCTCACACATTAAAACAAAATAAATAAATAAATAAAAGAGAGTTCATACTTCATCTTCACAAATCTCATGATAACAACAACAAAACTATTTTTCTTTCAAGCTCATAACAAATTCGCAAAACACCATGAAAGTCTCTACATAACAAACCAAAACATCCGCAATCACGCACATCTTCGGCATAGTTCAGCCTCTGTTTATGGTAGCTTTCTCTTATCCCTTTCATTTTATGTTCATAAAAACTTTTTATTGATTTTGTTTGTTTTACTTTTTAGAAATTTTTTTATTAATATGTTAGGTGTTTAGAAATCTTTTTTTTCTTCTCTTTTTATCGAAACAAAACTTTTTTTAAGAATAAAAAAAAGACAAAATTTAAAAAAAAAATAACAATCATTGTATCTTAATGTTTGTGATTGATTTTCTTATACTTTGTTTATATATATTTATGTGGGTTGTCTAATTTTATTATTTATTATTTTGTTTGTGATTGTTTAATTATATTTGTTGCTTTTATTTTTCATTAGCTAGAAAAAGTAATTAATTGACTAATAGATAAAATACAACAAAAAACATAAAATCAACTTTTTTTTTTATAAAAAAAGAACAAAAAATAATAAATACTCGATCCAACGTCAAGACATTTTTTCTCAAGTAAAAACCAACGAGCTCATTTTATTTTCGTGCTTGCGCTTATTTCTTTAATTGGGTTTACTTATAATCTTTTCATTTCATCCTCATTCGACAAAATGTACCCCGTTCCCATTAAGTGTAATAATTTTATCGCTTTCATTTTGATTGTATTTTAATTTTTTATCTATCTCTCACTTACACGCTCAAACCATTTTCATACTAATTCTCGATTCAATATCGAGCCCTTTTTTAAAACACCTTTGCAAGTCGATTGTTTCTACAATCCCCATCAACCAAACCTAAAACATTCTTGATTCATATATCAAGTCATATCCTAACTTATAAGTCGAATGCTTTTTAGCATCGCCATCAACCTCATGCACACACTTGCACCTTTTCTTTGGTTGTGGTTCTGTTTACTAGGAGTACCCTTAGGGACTAGGAATCGACCTAACTTTTTCTCATACCCTTGATCCAACGTCAAGTGGTTACTTCCCTCATAAGTTAGTTGTCTTTTGCAATTGCCATCACGCAAATTGAAACCTCGATCTTTTATCAAGTATTTATTTATTAAAAACTAAAATCTCTTTCTTTTCTCAAAAGTACAAAAATACTTTAATCATATTTCTAATCTGTTTCAGAAACCTTATAAAAACACTTACCTCCCTTTCACCCTAACCTTAGGTTTAGAGTTTTCTTAACTCTATGTAGGTGTTCTGCCATAGACGCTTACCTCTCCCATTGGAACCTTGACCATAGTCAAGAGTTTCTCACCCTTATTGAGGGGAACTACGAATGCTCTGATTCCATTCCCGTCAAGATACGTAGGCATGAAATCCGATGTCTTGGCGAGCATACTTAGAAATAACACCTTATCTCTCCCTTTATCTTTTCACCCTTTAGTAGACAAATAACAAATAACACAATAAAACAAGAGGTTCATGTAGAGTACTACAGATACTTAGGATGCTATCACCTTTCCTAGGTATAACAAACCGCCAAACCTTAGATTCTCTTATGCTTTGTATTGTATTGCATACTCATGGGTTATTCGTTTTTTCCCCTTCTTTTGGATAAATTAAAAACCGGTGGTGAATTATGATTTGTGATTCAAGTTAATCAATAGCTTGATATCCAATTCTCACTGTGATACGAAGGTCGCTTGTTAAGATGCACACACTTTGAGCGAATACCATGGTATTGAGCATGATTATGCCGCTTGTTGTATTTGTTCTGTGAACCCCTGTGGGTGTGCGATTATAAAGAGAGATTTACAAAAGATGA